CTGATGAGTCAGATATGGTTTGTTTTGTAACAAAATTCATTGCTTTCTTGATCCCTCATGTCTCCATTTCCTACCAGAATTCTAATTATAAAATCCAAAGCCCAGCATTTCCAGATATTCAAGGTTCATCAGCTCTGCAGTTTGTGTTAATCAGCTCAGTTCCTTGACTTCGCCCCTGTAATTTTATACTAACTGGGAGTCTAAGCCATTACCCATTTTTAGGAACATTCATCAACATGTGCCTACCTTTAGAGATGCTCAGTGTTTACTTTTCTCAGCAAAGCTAATGGCAGTTGTGTCCGCTCAGCCTGTTGGGACTACTCAAAAACCCTACACACACCTATCTGAAGCATGACCACAACACGTTATTCTTGCAAAGGTGTGTTGATGAAGGAGTGTGTCATTGCTGAAACTTTAAAAGGAAACAGAAGGAAGTGGGGGCCCAGCTTCCTCCACCTGTCGATGGCATATGAGGACCCAAATCCCTTTGGATTTTTTTAAATGCCAGCCCATATTGCCTCTCTCTGGAACAAAATATCCCTGCACGCATTGCGAAGTGTGGCTAGGGGATTACGCACTAAACTGAGCGTCATCATCTTCTGTTAGCACAAAGCCGAGGCTCAGCCTGCAAATGTCTTCTATTTGCCTGCATCTGCAGCGTGCAGAGCCATACAATTAGTTTCTTTGTGTGGGTGGAAGTAACAGTGGAAGAGGAAGAGATTTAATTTACTGCATTGCACCTTGCACATAAAAAAGGCTGATGTCTAGCTCACCCTGTCTCTTTACAGGGCCCGAGCAGCTCGTCCTTTCCTGAGTCACGAATGGAGCTGATCTGCTCATGCTCTTCGTTTTCGCCAGGCAGTGCTGCTGTCACTCACTCTGTTCAAAGAACCAAATCACAAAAAAGAGTTAACAACCTCATAGGCTTTATACATCTAAAAAAGAGCAATCTCCTCGCTTCAGGGAGGCATCCTTCTTGCCCTCAACCCTCAGCAAATGGTTGAAGGTGATTTTCTATTAGAGGCTACCTGCATGGAACTGATCGTACGACGTACAAGAACTTAGCAAAAATGCGTCTTTTTCCCTAACCTGGGAAAGCTTGAATAACCTGTGAAACCTGGAGTAATTCCTGCAATGTTGACAGAATCAGGCCGGTATTTCACCTGGGTCCAGCCCAGCCCTGCCCAGCCTAAAGTCTTCTGCCAAAATGCCCAAATAAAAAGTAATTTCTCTCTGCTGATCTCCACCCCTACCTACAATCACAAAACAGCTAAGATTTCATCTGTGCTGGGCAGTGTTTTCTGGTATGGCTTGTCCAGGTACACTTAATATCAATGAAACAGCGATGCTGCCAGGGTAGCTTATATTGAGTCTCCAAACAGAACAAATTATACCAGAACATTTATACCAGAAAAGCACTTGTTTTACTGGTATATGTTTTCATCAAGACATTCTAGCAGTCCAAACATTTCTCCTCTCTTTTACATTTAAATAGAAATATCGTGTTTTGGATTCCAGTGCATTTTTGGTGCAGTGAAATTAATGACAAAACACAGTATCTCACGCATTTAATTCTTGTTACCATCAATAGGATCTACACATTGTCTGCAAGCTTTGCAGGTCCCATAACATGTGGGAATTTATTGGTTCCCTCGCAGGTACCAAAGCAGACTCCAGATTGTAACCAACCTGAAATTAGGGCATCCTGAGGACTAGAAAGCTGTAAATTAGCCAAGAGCTGCGAGATGTGAAACAGAACTACCCAGCTTGAAGATAATGGCCATTCTCCTCTAGAATTATTGATAACATACATACAAGCATGCATGTATCTCTGTATAAAACAATATAAACATTATAAAGATAAGCATCACTAACTCCTCTCTTGGGTAGCATTCGTTTTCCTTCAGTGACGATGATGTTTCACGCTTGTTTGTAGACAGCAACTGGAGAGCAGAGTGCCAGAGCTCCCTTGTTCCACCAGCTGTCCTAGGTTTTAATTTTTTCCAGCCTGCAGATGGCCAGGAGAAAGATGAGCACTAGCACTTCAGCTAACCGGAAAAGTAACGCAGGAGAGGCAAGATCACCTTTTGTTTACCCTGAAAGAGGGGAAGGCTGAGTCATCTTCAGACACATCGCACGTTTAGTAGCTTGCTGTGCCATCTGTGTGACTGCTGTTCAAAAACCTTCCGATTCGGGGTTATTCTTGGCATGCCCTAACTACGACCGCTGACAAATAGGTTGCTTGGAAGGCCCTCAGCCAGGTTAAAATGTTATTTATGACATTTTTAGGTTTAGGTTTACCTGAATCCACAGCAGTGCTTTCCTATACTTAATAATACTCTGGCTTCATCAAGATAAACACAGCCTGACCAAGATGAAGCTGTGCTGCGTGAGACAGCTAGCAGATAGGCAGTGTAGGACAGTCCCTGCTCCGAGCAGGTTGGAGTCAGAGCAGGATGCAGCGAGATGGAAGGTGAAGGCAGGAGACGGGTGTCAGACAACAGTGGGATGCTTTGGCAGAAACTTCTCTGTGCATGTAGATCCAACCAGTCTGGCAGTAATTGCAATAATCACAACTCCTCATCTCTGTCCCGTTACACAACGGCTGTTCTTTACAAGTTGGAGTGGCAGTGACCATGCCTGTGATTATGGCATTCACGTTTGGTGCTCTTGTCATGATCCTTCATGTGCAAAGAAAACGTTTTTGTTTTCTGAAGAATCACAATCAGCCTTGGGAATGTTCTTGGCCAGAACGACTTGCTTTCCTCTACCGTGAACAGAAAGACTGCAAGCTTTGCAGGGAGCTGCCAGCTTCCAGAGCTCCTGCTCCCTGGATGCTGCTCAGCACCTTCCTCAACACAGCTCTGCTTTCTGCTCAGGACAGGCAAAGAAACACATATCCCACCGGCGTCCAGACACAGAGATCCTCACTGCCTTTGCGGCTTCTCTGCTAGGGCAGGGTCCGCCTTGCAGGGTCAGCAGTTTTGGACGGGCAGCTCCCTCCTCTGGCAGGTCTGCCGGAGTCCCTTCTTGCAATCCAGGGATCATCCGAAAAAGGACATGAGGGAACAGCTAACGGTTTCCGATGACCTGTATGAAGCACTCCTTGCCAACACTGTGCAGCACCTACTGTGGACAAAGGGATTCCAGCATGTCCCACCGAGAGAGTAAACCGGGGAAGAAGAAGGTGGTAGCGTGGTCTTCGCTTCCCCAGAGCCCACCAGAGCAGTGGTTTTGCCTGCAGCTGGGTGACCATGAGGACCTGGCTTGCATAGAGGCCTAGACCTCGCAGTAAAGCTGGAGAAGACCCAGGAGCCTCCCTGTGACTGTCACTAGATGGGCAACAGCTCACCTCCCGCAGTGGCTGCAGGGCTGACGTGCATTGTCCCAGGCAGCAAGCCTCCCACTCCCTTCTGGAAAGCAATGTGGGGAGTTTAGGCCAAGGAGTGGAGGGGCGGGTGAGCAGCCATTGGGTCTGCTGAGCTTCGTGGGCTTCGGCCATGGCAGCTCTGCCTGCTGACGGGGCTCAGCCTGATCCAGCCTGGGAGAGGGTCGGGCTCCACTCTGTTATCACCCCTGAGCTTCCCAGTTGCTCCTGGTGGGAGCTGAGCTTCAGGACAGGCAACTGTCAGACTTGTATTTCTGATATTACAAATAACCAATAGCACCAGAGGATTCCTCCTTGCCCATATTATGTGGAGGAATTAACTCTTCGCGGTACCTAATTTTTCCTGTGAACTTGAATGGATTACTCCTTATGGACTTCAATTTCCATTCTATGTGGCTCTGTTGAGATAAAAAATACCCTGTGGGCTTTCTGCCTTCTTTTATGACTTCTTAAGACTTTAAAAAGTCTTGTTGCAGCTGCATGGACATCTGGGGTATCTGGAGAGACGCTCCCTTCATGCTGCTGTACTGCTATGGCCCTGCTGAAATTCAGAGCAGGGTAAGTAGAGGTGGGTGTACTGGGAATGAATTTGTGATACACCTGAATTATCTGACAGTGCTGTCAGGAAGAAGTTCCTGAATTTGTCCAGGAATTTTTTTAAAGTTTTTAACAAGGGGGTAGTGCTAATAAAATGGGAAAACAACACCTAATTCCTGCTGCAGCTCAAATCGTGAACCAGCAAATTGCCCATGAGGTTTTGGATCCCAAATGCCCTTCCTTTTACTGCTCGTTAAAGCCCTGCTGCTGTCTGTGCTAGCCATGTGCCTGGGAAAACACGTGCAATGCACGAGACGCTGTTGAGGGATGCCATCGTCTGCAAATGAATAAGGTTTGACCCTGCAAAAGATGGTGGCAGACGAGCTGAAGAATGGCACCCGTGTTACAGGCTGCTGCTCCCGTTGAGGTTTTCCCCGGGGATTCAGCAGATGCCGGCTAATGGAAAGATGCTCATCTGGTGCGGCGGGGGGCTGCAGTCTGCCTCCAAGTCATCTGAAGGCATTTACTATGCCACTTGCATTACCTGAGCTATATGATCAGAGTCTGTAACCACCTATAACTGCTTAGAAATATTCTTTCCATGCTGTCGCTCTGCCTTTCTGAGCTCAAATAAATCAGAAGCCTTATTTGTGTAAGGCTGATTTTTTTAAAGCAGGTATTAATGTTGCATCATTGCCATCTTGCTAACTGTATAAGATTTTATAGGTTTTTCACCTTCATTAGAATTTACTCAGATTGCTCTTCAATTCTCAAATGAGGGATTTTCCATATACGCTATGGCCCAAAGTACTTTGGAAAGAGTCGTGTCTTCCTTGCTTGACAGGCGAAGCTGTGGTTTCAGTGCTCTGAGCTGCATTTTGCCTTCCTACGCTTCCTCAGATGTAGGTGACGGCTGTGCCTCCCTGTCCTTTCCAAGCCGTGGCTTTGCCAAACTGTGCTACGGCAGCGAAGCTGCAGCGCTTCCAGGCTTTTCCCGGAGATCGAGCCGCCCGGGTCCTTTGCCACCACTTTTATTGCTCTTTTCTGAAGTCTGGCAGCGGCAGAGATGCGCAGGATGGAGCAGCTGAGCATGATGCTGCTCTCCAAAATGGTGGAGGCGGCTGAGCTCCCCGCCGGGCGACGCAGCCTTACGAGTCCCCGGCTTTTGTTGCAGCACCTTCGCAGCGCAGCCTGGTGCCCGGTAACTCATCTGCTCTCCTGCTGAAATTGCTTCCCATGCTACTGCTTCCTAGGTTTCCTCTTACTGAAGTGATGTTTCCTCTGGCTGCAGTTTCCTCAGGTTTCTCTTTATTAAATTTGTTTTCCACCAGCGTGCTTTGTGCCTTTTGTTGTTCTCTGCCCACATTTCTGGTGTCTGTTGCTTTGCATTAATTTGCAGCTCTCACCAGTGCTAACTAATCCTCCCAAGTATCAAATCTCATTACACGCTGCTTGTTTCTTCTTCTGGATCATTAATGAGGTTGTTAAATAGAATGAGCCCTGACACCTATCCCTTTGCCATCGTATTAAACAAACCCTCCCCAGTTTGCTATATTGTCACTTATCATTTTGTTTATGGTCTTTCAGCCAACTTTAAAATGAGAGTGTTCCTTCCAACCCTGATTTACATTAATTTATCAGAAGGAAATTTCATTAGTGTGTCAAGTGTTTCACTGCAGTCCAAATCTGGTTGTTTTTTGCTCTCCTTCAACCTTGCCCTCTAGTGCTTATTTGGTGATTCTTTCAAAATAAGAAAATCAATAATATTGTCAGGCAACACTTGTTTCTCGCTGCTCGGGGTTTTTTGGCCATCTAAATTACTGGTGGTACAAATCACTGTGCGTAATCTGTGTTTTACTTCTGTGCTAAGGTTCATCTAGTCTTTCCAGTGACAAAGATCATCTGGTACGATTATCTGGTACAGTGTATTGTTTCTTAAGCACAACCTACTGCAGATGTAATATTTGCACAGAAGCACAGGAGTAGAGGACAACATGGTTTTTGGACGGCTGTTCGTTTTTCAGCACGTTCAGCTGCAAACCCTTACACGTGTTCCTTGCCGTTCAGGTAACGCTGCAAGAAAAGCTGGGGCGGGAATGGAGAAAGGTTAGAAATGTGACTGTGGATGAGCAGATAAATGCAGGAAGGTTTTGTCCGTGCGCGTGGGCATCCCAGTGCTCACAGCTCAGGTTTTGTGAAGCGTTTGCTGGTGCTACCGGTGTTATGTGTTGCCTTGTGCGTCGCAGCTCGCTGCAACCAGCCCTTTCCCTTCTCCTCCTTCTGCTGCTGTACTCGCCGGCAGCTAATCCGATGGGAGTGACCATGCTGTAAGCAAGGTACGAGTCTTCTTCCTCCTGCTCCAGGGGAACACCAGCCTTCCCACGGGTAGGTGTCTCCATCAGCAGGGCATATATTTGTGGATACACGTGTATACAGTATATCAGAGGTACCACACATCCAGTTTTAACATTGCACCCAGAATCGTTGTATTTTTGGCGGTGGCTGTCCCCACTGAACTACGCAGAACTCTTTTCACTGGGCTTCATTTTGTGCTCTGGTAGGCACTAATAAATAACATGTTTTTTGGAGTGGAAAGTGAATTGAATAATGTTTGGTTTGTGTTCTGGTGTGTGAAAATGTGATGTCTTTTTCACACTGAGCAAGAAAAGACTCGCTCAGGTCTTATTTTCCTAGTTAGCAAGAAGACCATGTATAATTAAAATGCTGCCAGGTGCCTTCCTATTTAGCATGCTTACAAACCATGCAGCGCGCTCAGGCTGCCTTGAAACTCATTGAGCTTGTTAAAACATAAAAATTGTACAAAATAATTGGACAATTACCAGTATTGAGAACATCCTTCATTTTACCAGTGGAAAATTACACCCTTTACTGAGAAGGTAATTTTGATAAAATCAACATTTTGGGATAAGAATTTATTAAGCAAATAAAGGTGGATTACCACTACTTGATAAAAGCTTGAAATAGTCAATGATGAAGTACTAATAGCATGAAAACCTCTTGCTCTTTTTATTTACCAAATCATCTTATCTACTGATGTAATAATTACAGCATACAAGTTCAATAGTAGTCTTGATTTTGCCGTCAGTTAAATGGAGGAGAAAACAATATTACTGTGAAGCATTGCAAAGTTATTTTTTAATTTTCGTATCGCCTTGTGACCTTTGGAAAGAATTGCTCTGTAGCATTGCACACTTTCCTTTGGCTCTTCGAGACCGTATGTTTTGTTTCTAATTAAAGCGTGACCTTGCAATGAGGATGACTGCCGCCTTGTCATTAGCTGCATGAAGTGTTCCTCCTGACTTCCTTAGGTGCATAAATACCATGGTTTATTCAATCCTTCCATATTTCTCCATAGCCAACAAGTCTCCTGCCAGCTGAAGCATTTTTCCCTTTACCTTGGGCTGTGGTGGATAGGGACTTGCAGGATAGGGACTTGTTTTTTTTTTTTCTTAGCGTTACTGTGAAGGAAAGTGTGAAAGTACATTTGAATCCATACCGTTAGGTCCATATTTATTTGCAATTGTTTGGTTGTGTTTGTGCTAAACTTTCAAATGCTCTAACTAATCAGACCGCAGTTAAAATGAAACCCTGTCTGCATGACAGAGAGGAAAATTTTGGTTGGATAACGGGGTATGAAGCAACTACTGTGTGTATATGTTAGATACAAAGCGTGCTCATCCTTTGAGCAGGATTTTCTGAGTGCAAAAAATTTTGTCCCTGTATGTATTAACATACTTTTATTGGATCAAAACTTCTGTTTTACTGACTAATATGGCAGGTATGAAGACGGTACTAATAACTTTTTATCTCTGCCCTGTAACCTATTCTTCCTAAACAGGTGATCTCTTCAACTATTATTAGATTATCTTCTCAAAACTTCATCTTGGTATATCAAAAACAGGTTTATAAGTAAGGAGAATTAGAAGTTTATGGAACTTTTCTATACATGGAGTTAGGTAAAAAATGCTGCTATTAAGCACAACAGCAAACAACCAGGAACAAAACAAACACAAAATTGATAGCCCCTGTTGCATACAAAATACATGAGGTTTTGTTTCAATAGCAAGACCCGGTTATTGAGAATTTGAAAGTTAATAGTTCTGTTTGTGGCAGCTCACTTTACACTGGAGCTCAGCAATGACATGCCCTAACTATCACACTGAATATCAAAAACCATGCCAGAAAAAAACATCTTCTTCCAGAGGGCTGCGCCGCTCTGAGTTCTGATACATGAGGTTTTGTTTCAATAGCAAGACCCGGTTATTGAGAATTTGAAAGTTAATAGTTCTGTTTGTGGCAGCTCACTTTACACTGGAGCTCAGCAATGACATGCCCTGACTATCACACTGAATACAGCCTTCAAAAAAACCATGCCAGAAAAAAACATCTTCTTCCAGAGGGCTGCGCCGCTCTGAGTTCTGTAGGAAAAATAATGATTTGTTTTGTTCTTAGTTAGTTAGCTGGTAGGAGGAGAAATCCTTATGAAAACAAGGTAGTTATAAATTGAACAAATTAGAGCTGGCTCCTAGGAATTTGCATGCTGAAATGCTCAGCAGCTTACTCTCCATCAGCCAGCTCCCGAGGCAAAAACCACAGTGTCAAGTTAGAGACGGAAGGAGAATCAGGCAGAGAGGTTGGACGTCTCAGGGTCGTTACACCAAGCAGAAAGTCGTGGAGAGGGTTGAGCCTTAAATCCTGCTGCCAGGGAGCAAAGCCACTTAATCCTGGTCTAGAGGGAGGTGCCCGATGCTGGTCAGAAACTCTGGGACTTGGCGCTGAGAAGACCCCGGACCAGAGCACGAATCCTCCTTGCAAAGCACAAGTTAACGCAAAGCAATAAGCAAATACTCCCCGAAGAGCTGACAACCCCCTGCTGGGTATTTATGCTCAAAGCCAGGAACTGCTGCTGTTCCTGATGTGCTTTTAATGTCACCTGAGCAAAAGTTTGGGAATGGGAAGAGCTGCACCAGTGACGGCTCCTGTGCACAGACTGATGCTGTTGCATGTGGCGAGTGGGATGAGCCCGGCCCAAAAGAGTAGCTCAGAGAGCTGCTGCTGAGAGCCACGGCGAGGGGCACAGCGTAGTCCTTTGGAGACAGAGCACGCTGCCTGTCTCTTTGCAAGCAGACAGGGAGCAAGGTGCTGCGGTGCTGCCTGTCCCCAGGACGAGGGCTCTTGCAGGTGGGACAAGGTCCTTCGCCCAGCCCCATCGGGTGCCAATGAGGGCTCAGCTGCTCCCTCTGGCTTGAAAACAGGGACCCTGACCTGCACAGAAAATACAATTCGTAAAACTGTTTGTATTAGAACACTCAGAAATAAATAAAAGCATTTAAGGCGCATGTTCCTTGATTAAAAGACATAAACAGCCTTTGGGGCAGCTCAGCTCTCCAGCAGTGAGGGGCTGAGTCAGCGCTGCCTTCCTCCTCTCAATCCTGGGGCTGAGACACCGAAACTTGAACTAAAAACCAACAACAACAACAAAAGCGACTCCTTCAAGGCGGCATGGCTTCAGCTGTTAGAAAGGAAGATGTCGCCAATTAACCCACTGACCTCTCGTCCCTCCCTCCCCTCTGAGAGCCTTGCTTGGGGAGGGGGCAGCCCCAAATATTGCTGTTTTGCAGGTGAATTGGCTTGTGGAGGGATCTGCTCGGGCCAGCCTGAGGCACAAAGCAGAGGTGTGTGCCTGGGATGGGGGAAAAACCCCTTATTCTGTCCTGCCCCACTTAGGGAGCATGCCCCCCCCCGGCTTGTCCAGCACACATCAATTGTGCTCGTGGGGATTAAACCTCTGTTGCAGCTGTGGGTCTTAGGGGCATTTAACCCCAACTTCAATCTCCCCAGTGCACGTGGGGAAAGGAGCTGTTCTGCTTGCTAAAACGTACCCTGCCCTCATCGACGTCACGGGTACGGGTATGGGTACGGGTACGGGTACAGGTATGGGAGGGAAGATGCCATCTGATTTGGTCACGGCAGCCAGAGGCAGCTTTTCAGTACCATTGCTTAAATGTCACTGACCAATACTGAAATTCAAGGAATGTTTTTTCAGGTGTAAACACGTAGTGTAACTCCTTATTTAGAAAATATTTCATCTGTCTCAATCCTGAGATATGTATCTTATAAGATGTAGGATACAAGTACAGGTGTGAGAGACATGAATACCTCTTATGCTTTTAGTTTTTT